TCGGTTCTGGCCACAAGCCTTGGCTTTCAGATTTTATTCAATCCACTTTTCAGCCTGTTCGTGGGTCACCCTTGCCTGCAGACAGTGGGTATTCCCGGGCACAGAGAAAGATAAATTAAACCAAGAAAACCCCTATGAAAAAAGTCCTAACGGACCTGACAGGGCTGCTCTCCAAATCCACCTGTCCTACTAGGGGCAGCCTGAGACGATATCACGAGACCCTCATCTGGGGCACTATTTCTCAAAGTGTTGCCGAGGTCAGAATCACCTGGGGTACTTATTAAAAATGCCAATCACCGGGCTCACCTATCAGAGTAAGAGCCTCTAAGAAAAGGGCCCAGGGGTCCGCGCTCTGAAAAACACCCACGTGATGGTTCTGGTGCTCTTTGACTTCCCTGTAACATTGGTATCACTCAGGAGACCTGCCTGTCAAACGCAAGGCTGACCTCATCCTGGCTGTAGCTGTGGATGGCCAGCGCCAGGGTTCTGGTCAAAGGCAGACACCGCACCGGCCAGAAGGGTGAGCGGCCACCAAGTTACGTTCAGAGAAAGTGAAGAAGTTCCACTTCTGTCACACGGCAGGTGTGCTGCTCAAACAAGGTTCAGACTTAACTCACCTGGTGAAGCAGCTCACACACCAGGTAGGGGCCAGCTGAAGTAAACACAGAAAAAAAGTCCTCTTTTCCGTGACCCCCTCCATCCTCGTCGGCCCAGCCAGATATTGAGTGTGGGGGGATGTCGTATCAAACATTTTTGTTGTTGTTGTTGTTTTGAGTTGGAGTCTCACTCTATTGCCCAGTCTGGAGTGCAGGTGCATGCTCATGGCCACCCTAGCGTCGACACACTGGACTCCGGCGATCTTTCCGCCTCAGTCTTCCAAATAGCTGGAATGACAGGCGCGCGCTACCATGCCCAGCTAATTTTTGTTTTATTATAGAGACGAGGCCTCACCAAGTTGCCTGGGCTGGTCTCGAACCTGCAGGCTCAGACAACCCATTCACCTCGGCCTCCCAAAGTGCTGGGATTACAGGCTGAGCCACCGAACCCAGCTCAAACATTTTTAACAAGCGGACAAGGGCAGAGGGGACATGTCCACTACAACAGCCGGTCTGGCTGCATCACATCAGCCCTGCCTTTCTTCCACAGTTGAGCTTCAGCTAAGATTAAACCAGAATGGAGTTTGTCTCCATCCATTTTATTATGGGGAGAGATGATAGAGATTAGAGCCTTAATGTACTTTGACTAGATTTGTTTTCTGTAAAAAATAAAGGATTGTAAAACCTCCAACTTTCTGAGCTGCTTGAAATGCTACCACCATTTCAAATGTATAGTTTTCATGACCTGAATATCCCAGTCATGAAAGCATTTGTTCTATTGTTAAAGACCTAGTGAACTGATATGAGTTTTACATGTGGGAAAAGGTTCGTTCTCGGCATGCAGCTTTTATGGAGGTACACATGAGATGCAAAGCCTTGCCTTGGGAAAGTGAACCAAAGACTCAACCAGGAAACTTTGTTTCAGACCAGTTAAAAATGTAAAATATAGCTACCGCAGAGCTTAATTCTACAATGGTAGTTTCAACTTCTGTACCCGGAGACTATTTTTTGCATTTTCTTGGGATTGGCGCACAGCTACAGCCATATTGGACAGATGTTTTTAACTCTAAATGCAAAGCAGAATTACCTATCATTTCTTTGCTATGCAGATAGAATATTTTGCATGAGCATTCAAAAACGCATGTTTATAGTTTGAGTTTCTTATGCTTATTGTTTTCTACCACCAAATGTACTGTTCGCAGATGGAAAACTCGGTGTCTTTGATGGCTGGTGAGGAATTGCTCGCAAGAATCAGTTACACGCAGAGAGACACATTACACATAATGTTGGAAAGGGCTGGATTACAGTTATCAAAATGTGCACAGGAGCAATCCTCATCTAGGAGAAATGTTTCAGGGATTCCAAATGATCCTACTCAGCAGCTGGCCCTATCTGCAAGGCTTGGTCCGTGGAAAACATTGCCGCGTTCCTCCCCCGCGAGCTTCCCACCTCGATAGCCATCGTCATGAAAACTGCCTCACCGCTGCTACTCCGTATTACCCTCCGAGGGCAGCAATTAGCACAGACCAGTGATGAAGCAATGTGGCGGCCCACATTTGTGAGTTCACCTTTAAAGACAACCGAGACAAAGTCAGAGAAGAGGGGCCACAGGGGCATTACAACAGGGAGCTGCTGTTGGAGCACTGAAGTCAATGACTTCCTTGCAGTAAGTGTGATCAGTTCTGAACGGTATCCTGAGCAATTAAAAAGGTAATCTGCTTTTAGGGGAAGAGAAAAACATGCAGAACACACTTCTCACAGAAGTGACCAACCTTTTCAGAGTTGCTAGATTTCGCCTTAACTTCAACTTTTTACAGAGAAGTACTTAATGTAATTTTTTAGTTCCAAAGTTGATTTTGCGTTGAAAATTGTGTGGTAATTCTCAGCTGCAAATATCCTGAGGTATCATGCAGGGCAGGTTTAAAGTAATTGTTCTTAGACATGGGGAGTCTCTCGTCTTGGGGTCTTAAAATATTATAAACCTATTCTGCTTGACCAGCTATAGCCTAATATCCTAGATAACAGTTCGTATGTATTAGCCATAAACACACACACACACACTCTCTTACACATTTAAGGGTTACTGATTTTTAACCAATTATATACTAAACATCCAGATTTATCCCTTTGCACTTTAAGACCTCTCAGATCACCTTCCAGCAACTCGACTGTACTTTTTTACAAAATAGTGAAAATCACTTCATATGAAATATAAAGCATTGGAACCCATTGTTTTATGATAATATGTGGCTTATAATGGCATTTTGGAAATTATGACCAAAAAGATCAAAATTTTCTATCTTATTTTTCTGACATGTAACATGTGAAAGTCACTGACACACACTGCAGGTTTGATATATGTTGTGCAATAGTAACTTGAGTCTTCCAACCTAGTGTTTTTCCATGTGAGCAGGCAGTGCAGTCTTGTTCTTCCTCCTACATTAATATGTAATTTATTGTTCAGTCTGTGCACCACTGTGAAAGCACTTTACACGTTCTAACACCAACCGGTATTTTTTTTAACATGTATCTCAGTATACACTCCATCTCTTTGCTTTTTTTTTTTTTTTTTATTTTGAATGGAAAGCATCAAAGAAACAAATGTTTTAAATATTTGTGCTGGCATAAATTTGTCCTGTATAATCACCAGTAATCTATGTCCCTTCAGAGGGGACATCTGAATGCAAATGGCTAATCTTTAGTGACGTGGAAAGCACTCTCTGGTATCTTGCAGAAACTTGATGTCAATGTTCTGGTAATGGGTCAGTTAACAAGAGCTTACTAGTTGATGAAATTAAAGAGTGCCTGGGGGGGAAGAATTTCTGGTGGCCCCAGCTTACAGAACTGAGAGTACTGGAACCAGTAAACACTAATTTTCTGGATGCACTTCATGAAATAAATGCAGTATGAAAAATCTAAGCTCTATTAGACGACAAAAGGATTTGTGGTTAGGCCCTAAGTGCACCGTAGACAAATGTTTCACAGTGTCCAAAACGAGAGAACCTTGGCCATGACATAGCAGAGGCAGGTATGCTGCCCAGGATCCTTACTGGGCACTGCTCTGTTGATGCATTTCTTCATTTCTTAAGAGAAATCAACAAAGTTACAATGTACCAAAATTTGCTTTTATAAGCTAATACTACCAGACTAGTAACTTGAAATTTTATGCTTCTGAATTTTAAGCATCTACACCTTGTCACCCATTTCCCACCCTACTTCCCACCATTGAAGATAAGACTCAAATAAGTACACCAAAAACACCTCTGAAAAAAGCTTCTTTATTTCTGTTTATCCATTTATGCAGAGGCCATATCAGCTATAGGTAACAGAAACACACTTTTAAGTTTAAAATTAATTTTCCATTTTGAAAGGTTCAGAACTTTTTTCTTTTTTACTTTACTCTTTTAAATACTTCACTCCAACAAAATAACAGAACAATAAAAGTTTATACCCTAACTTTTCCTTAAGGTCATACTGGGATAATTAGAACTGGTTCTTTAGAATGGAGGTATCATTTATAGTAAGCTGGAGATTTAAAAACAGAAAGATACATGTAAAAATGTTATAAAATCAAGTAGAATACAGAGAATTTTTAAAAGAACAAATCTCAGGGCACATTCAAATTCTGAGGCATAATAAAGCCCTCTTGGGAATTCTCAAGTTAAAAGAATCTTTCCTTCAGATTCCAAATGAAAATTGTTAGAAATTACAGATGCTAGTAATATGGCCCATGGTAGCTACTTTAGGTGAGCAGTAAGTGGAGTCTCCATGTTTTAGGGGAGGAGCCACTGGAAGAAAGGCCAGGAAGCCACTTTAAACTCATGTTCACGGCAGGTCAAATTATACTGAAACAACTGTTTTCCTTAGAAAGGTTATGATCCCACTGCCACTTTTCCAGGACTTAGCCCTTTAACTGCTCACACAGCTACTTTCTTTGTTTACATCACCAGTTCCAGGAGCAAGCCTCCTGGAAGAAATGATAATACAGCAAACCTTGTGGAAAAGCAAGACCGGTGGGTACAGCAAGGGTGCTGTGGTGCTCTAGCTGTTTGTCACAATGTACAAAGAGACCAGCTAATCTAGAAACACCGTTTGCTCTTGACTCTAGCACATTCTTGGGATATGCTTATTAAACAACTTCTGTGGTTTAGAAATATCAAAACTACCTGCTTTGACTCTTCAGGACATATTTTACTTTATAAAAGAAAATATAATAGGCTAAAAAATCTATTTACTCTACAACAAATAGTATCTCAATTTTTTATAATAACTCTGATTAACCTTTAAGTAACATAAAAAAGTTTCGGCATTCTTTAATACCAATATTTTGCACAATTTGAGATATAGCCATAAGTTTAGTATTTCGAAGAAAATAATTTTTTTCTTTACCAAAAATGAGAATAGTAGTTTGTCTTGGATTCTTTAAAAAAAAATTAGGCCCAGAATTTTAGTTATCCTAATTGCCATCCCAATCAAATAGGATACATATGTGTGGATTTTGGATAAAGAATAGCATATTTTGATTTTATAAGACCCACTGATTGGACTGTTTAGCTAGAATGTTTTACTGAGTTTAGATAAGGAAGACTTCAATAAAGTTAACTATTGAGTTCCACTGATTAAAAATGCAGTTTTAAAAATTTGCTTTTGTAGTAAATGTCTAGATAAATCATAAATGTGAAGCACAAGATTGTAAATACTGTACTGTTCACAGGTATTTGCTGGAGAAATAAAATGCTTGTATTTAAACTATCAAAATTCTGACCTTTCAAAATAGGGTTCTTAAAACAATTTTTTGAAATTCAGTATCTGCTTTTAAATTCTTAAAATGCCAATTTCAATTTTTTAAAAAAAATCCTGGCATATACATCTTAAAGTTGTTTATTTCAGCTCAATTATTTTTAGTCTCAACTATATATTCAACAAAATCTAAGTAAACATCTAATGAAGAACAGTCTCAATATAAGATAAAACTAGGCAATCTAATAATATAGCTTGTACAGAAAGTTTAAGTGATTTATCAGAATTCAGAATTAAATTTCTATATTAGTGAAAAACTTTCAGCCTCCTAATACCCAAAGTCAGCAAGTTCCCACAAGACTAGAAAGCAGAGAGGATCAAACAGATTTAAGTACTGCCCGACTTCTTCTAAAGTGATGAACTCTTTTATCCTAGAAAAGATAGAGACAGTTCTTTTACTTCACTGGAAATTTACAATTACCACTAAGAATTGTAAAAGATAGCATTTATTTTGGGTTTAAATATTATAAATGAGAAAAAAGGGATCCCTTTGGAAAACATTCTTTTTTTTTTTTTAAAGTAGAGGCAGGGTCTTGCTTTGTTGCCCAGGTTAGTCTTGAACTCTTGGCCTCAAGTGATCCTCCTACCTCAGCCTCCTAAAGTGCTGGGATTATAGGCGCCAACCACTGTACTCAACCTGGGGAAGCATTTGTCGTCAGGATAGCACATGTACCAAGACGGCTAGTAGTATTAAGCAATTTGATTAAAAAAGAAATCCCAGTAAACTCAGAAATAGAGGACTTAGACTTGGTATCATTTTATATACTTTTTTTTTTTTTTTTGAGTTGGAGTCTCACTCTGTCGCCCAGGCTGGAGTGCAGTGGCATGCTTACAGCCACCCCGGCGTCGATCCGCTGGGCTCAGGCAATCCTTCCGTCTCAGCCTTCCAAGTAGCCAAAACTATAGGTGTGTACTACCACGCCCAGCTAAGTTTTTTATTTTTATTGTAGCGATGAGGTCTCATCAAGTTGCTCAGGCTGTTCTCAATCCTGTGGGCTCAGACAGTCCCCTCATCTTAGTCTCCCAAAGTGCTGGGATTCTAGGCTTGAGCCACCGCGCCTGGCCATTTCATACACTTTTTAAAAAAATTTTTTATTTTTGGAATCAGGGTCTCTTTCTCTCACCCAGGCTAGAATATAGTAGCATGATCACGATGGTCACAGCTCACAGCAGCCTCCACCTCCTAGGCTCAGGCAGTCTTTATACTTCAGCATCCTGAGTAGCTGGGACTACAGGTGTGCACCACCACACCCAGCTAATTTTCTGTAGAAAGGTGGTTCCACTGTGTTGCCCAGGCTGGTCTCAAACTCCTGAGCTCAAGCAATCCTCCTGCCTTGGCCTCCCAAAGTGCTGAGATTATAGGTGTGAGTACTTCTTAATTAATGATTTGATGGTGATGTCCCAAGACAGTAGGTGAAAAATGTATGTTGTCGTAAAAAAGCATTGTTTTAACTAACTGAACTGCAACTGATAGAAACCATAACTTGAAGACAGCACTCCAGTCTGAAATTCCACACTTTCAGGTTAAAAGATATAAGTTTTAGCCTATTTAAAATCATATCCTTAACCTGTGAAGTTATATCTTTCTTTGGAAAAATTTAAGATATATGCAGAGTTTTCTTTCACCCTAATGTTGCCTATAGACGTGCAGATGAAAGTTAGACCTTAAAAAGAGGATTGGGACCGAACAAACCAGTAATAACATAAGATTTTCTCCTTTATACAGTTTGCTTAACTGTGCCCTTTTCCTAGGGATGAAACTCAGCTGTCTTATAAAGAATGACTTCTGGGAGTTATGTAATCTCTTCACAGGGTAATAGCCTATTTAAATTGAAGTCTAGAAAAGTGGTCACAAACACATAACTTCAGAGATAGGGAAGGAAACAAAATTATGAAGGAGCTGGAATTAAAATGACAAAGAGTGAAATTTGCCATGGAAATGGTAAATGCATCAGATACTTCAGGGTCTTCAAATTCAATAAAAACAACAACAAAAAACAGCAAATAAAAATAGGTGTAGCTATCAGGCACTGCAGAATTTGCAACTTCTGACTTCTAGTCCAAAGGAGCAGAAAACTCTGGGAGTTCAAAGGGAGGCTTTTTCTAGTATCAGGTGAAAACTCTAGCTTCTGCGTTAGCACACCTGTAGTCCTAGCTATCTGGGAAGCTGGAGTGGGAAAATAACTTGAGCCTAGGAGTCTGAGGCTGTGGTGATTTGTGATTGTGCCACTGCACTCCAGCCCGGGCTGTTAACACTGCAAGATGCTGTCTCTGAAATCCACCACCACCACCACCACCACCACCACCACAACCCTCCTAAACTATCTTCTTTATAAACAAACCACTTACGTATTACCTAGGTAGCCTTCAGAACTTTGGGCAAGGCAGTAAAAGCTGATATACAACCTCAGTTCTCCCTTTCTAAATTATACCGTCTATGTGGAATAAAGCAACAGAACAAATGTCAACTTCAAACATGTTTACTCTCTGTTGCAAAGACAGTAAGAACTTAGTCCTGCCACGGTTTTACCCTCTGCATTGCAGGAAGTCCTTGGCCTGCCCTTTAAGAAGGCTTAAGCTTCATTCTGTGTCCCTTCACAGAATTTAAAGAAGTTGCTTTTCCTCTGTTTCAAGACACAAAGTGATAGGTAGGATTTCCCTATGAACGTACAACAGCACATAACGTTATACAAATTATGGCAGTTCCAGAAAAGGTTAAACAGTTGCCATATAACTCAGTGATTCCATTCCCAGGTAGGCCTACAATGAAGAGAAATAAACACGACGTCCATGCAACAACTTGTGCATGAATGCTCACAACATTAAATAGCTAAAAAGTGAAAACAATCCAAATGTCTTCCAAGGGACAAATGGAAAAACAAAATGTGGTATTATCCATAAATTTAAAAAATGAAGTACTGATGCACACTATAACATGGATGAACCTTGAAAACATTATGCCAAGTAATGTTTTTAAGGTTCATTAAGCCAGTCACAAAAGGCCACATTATGTATGATTATTTATATGAAATGTCCAGAATAGGAAAATCCTTAAGAAGAAGGAAGTAAATTAGCAGCTGCCCAGGGCTAGAGAGGCTGGGAGAAAATGGCAGGTAAGGGGGTTGTTCTAGGGGGTTACATTTGAATACACTAAAATCAATGAATTGTACACTTTAAACAGGTAAACTATATGGTGTCTCAATTACTTATCTCAATAAACCTACTTCTGAAAAATTCCCTTTATTAATTCCTCTTCCACTGGACTGACCAGTTTTCATATTCATAGATTCAGAACTAAACGGACTCAGAAACCTTTAGTCCTGTACCTCTTATTTCAGACTTGTAAAAACTGGAGGCTTAAAAAGATTTAAGTGATCTGTCCAAGATGGACAGAAGCAGGATCAGGGCCCAGAACGGCTCATGCCTGTAATCCCAGCATTTTGGGAGGTCAAGGCAGGAGGATTGCTTGAGCCTACGAGTCCGAGACCTAGGCAACGTAGTGAGCCTAGGCAATGTAGTGAGACCTCATTTCTACAAAATCAAAAAACCAGCCAAGAGTGGCAGCCATGTGTCTGTCCCCACTACTTGGGAGGCTGAAGGATTGCCTGAGCCCAGGAGGTCAAGGCTGCATTGAACTGTGATTGTGCCACTATACTCCAGTCTGGGCAATGGTGAGACCCCCAACTCAAAACAGAAGAAAAAGAAGGGTCTGAAACTCAAATCCCTACATTCTCTTCCACTTCATCAACCCTGAATCAACTTCTATTTCTTCCCACTCAGCTCGTCTCACTGCTTCGCTTTACCTCTCTCTCTTCACACTGTTCAGGTCTCTCATCTGAGTCAACTACTTCTCTTTAGTCCAATATGCATGTATGAAGTTCTACTTTTTCTTTTTTTTTGAGTTGGAGTCTCACTCTGTCGCCCAGACTGGAGTGCAGTGGCCGCTCCCGGTCACCGCAGCCTCGACCTGCTGGGCTCCGGCGATCCTTCCGCCTCAGTCTTCCAAGTAGCTGGAACTACATGTGCACGCTAACTATGCCCGGCTAGTTTTTGATTTTATTGTAGAAACGAGGTCTCGCCAAGTTGTCCGGGCAGGTCTCAAACCCGCAGGCTCAGGCAATCCTCTCGCCACAGCTTCTCAAAGTGCTGAGAATATAGGCAGAGCTACCGAGGCCCGGCCTCTTTTTCTTTATTTTTTGAGTTGGAGTCTCACTCCATTGCCCAGGCTGGAGTGCAGTGGCACGCTCACCGCCACCCCAGTGTCGACCTACGGGGCTCCGGGGATCCTTCCGCCTCAGCCTTCCAAGTAGCTGGAACAACAGGCCCACGCTACCACGCCTGGCTAATTTTTTATTTATTGTAGAGATGAGGTCCTGCCAAGTTCCCTGGGCTGGTCTAGAACCCGCGGGCTCAGACAATCCACTCACCTTAGACTCCCAAAGTGCTGAGATTGCAGGCTTGAGCCACCGTGCCCAGCCTGAAATTCTACTTTCTATATCTACATTTTTTTCACTATTTGGTCAAGTAAGGCAACTGTCTTTTCTAATGAACTCTCTCAGTTACAAATTTCTGCTAAAGAATCCTTCCCTAACGATAACCATACTATAATCAAGGATTGAGCAGCATAAAATACACCGCCAGGTAAAACCCACGAAGTAGTTTACTGGGTTAGTCAAATGCCAAAAGTTCAATTAAATACTCTCAGTAATATCAAAATATTCTACAGGGGAAAAGACACTTCAAAGCTAACAAATATGCTTTTTATTCTGTATACTGATTTGTTCATACCTTGAAGTAGTCATCTTGAGTAACAATAGAGTTTCTCAGTCTGTTCTCCGGATTAAATAGACAAGATACCACTGTTTGTATGCTTCGGTCCACAGATTTCTGAAATGTAAAGACAAATCATTTTACTCACTGTTAATAATTTTGCTAGCAGATAAATGAACATATTCACTTCTTTCTAAATAATTCTTACATGATTCATAGTTCTTACTACATATCACTCAGTATGTAAGTTTTCTGACAAATCAAAGTCATATTTTAGAAAGCTCAGTAACAGATTACTGACTTAAAAAGCTGGATTTAGTAAAACTCCAAGTTAACTCAAGTGTTTTGAAGAAAAACTATTCAGGACAAAACCTAGCAATATCATTATACTGTAATCTATTTTAATCATGTGTTCAAATTTTTAAATATCAAGTACTGAGTCAGGGAATTTTTTTCCACTGTATGGTCCAGTAGCTCTCAACATTTTTTCCCACTGAGAAATACATGAATGAAGTTCACATACCAATGGGACCCCTCTAGTGTTACACACATTACCAGCATATCAACTACTTCCACACTTCTACCCATTCAACAGAACGTGTGCAAACTCAAAAGTGATAGTAAGGCTGGGTGCAGTGGCTCACGCCTGTAATCCCAGCTACTTTGGAAGGCTAAGGTGGGAGGATCACTTGAGGCCAGAAGTTTGAGACCAGCCTGGTCCACATAGCAAGACCCCGTCTCTACAAAAAATGAAAAGATGAGCTGGGCACGGTGGAGCATGCCTGTAGTCCCAGCTACTTGGGAGGCTGAGGCAGGAGGATTGCTTAAGCTAGTTTGAGGCTACGGTGAGCTGTAATTGTGCCACTGCATTCCAGCCTGAGCAACAGAGCAAGACCCTGTCTCTAATAAAATAAAATAAAGAGTGACAGCATTGTTATTATAGGAATTTGCTCTGACAATAAAAACTCTGCCTATTTCAGTATTTGAATAATTACTGCTGATTCCACAACCATTGAGAGCTACTGCCATATACAATGTTACAAAGAGGATACCATAAATAAATGTTTTACTATTTAGCTAAGTAAATATTGAAATTGTTTGTAAAGAAAAAGTAGATACAACTCATACTAATCTCTCTTTCGAAGAGCACAATTTTTGAGGAAACCTGTCCACTGCATTCTGTGAAATCATATTGGTACAATATGTATTAAAGTATTGTTAAAAAACAAATGAAACTGGAAAGGAGGAAAAGACTGGTGAATCAGGAACCGTATGTATACACCAAGTATGGAGATGTCTAAAAGGTCACCAACCTTTAATTAACTTCAGAACATCAGCAAATGACTTAAGCTCTATAGTTTATGGATTCTATCTTAAATTTGAGGAAAAATGCTTACTTCTCAAAAAACTATTACTCAAACTTGAAAAATAACTATGAAATATAAATATTAATAAACAAAATTAGATGTTTGCCTTTTGTGGGCCATTTCCAGAGGATGAAGTAGCTTCATGAACTGAGCATTCATTTGGCAAAACTTCAGCTCCTGGGTCAACTTCATTACAGTGGTAGTTAACAGTTGTGTAAGCCTACATTTGAGATAATAAAAGTGTAATTAAAGAAACACACAGATACATTTAAAAGCCATCTCTTCTTCAAAATGGTGAGCTGATACTAAAAGTTTTAATGTATGTTGTGTTGAAATTCAATTACTTTCAGAAACTTTGTTTTACACTGAAGAGCTGAAATGCAGTAAGGCAGCCTTTTACTTTAAAATGCCTTCTAAGCTTCACCATAATTGAAATGTAGTTAAGAGAGTGCTTTGGACTTTTACCTGTTATTTTATCAGTCAATTACCCAATTCTGATAAAAGACAGACGCTCAAAAGTGTTAGATATTACACTCTCTTTTGTTTTATTCCTTTTTACCTTTAACAGTGTTAACAGCAAAACATTTCTGTCTCTCTTCAATAGACTTTTGAATGGGCAGCAAAGCCAGAAGCAGATTCTAGGCAGACACATGTCAATTCTAAATCCATATTCAATACTACCTTTCTTGGGTTATATATTCTATCAACAAGTATCAGGGTTTATTGACCAACCACTGCTTAAGCACACAGAAATCTGAGAAACAAAAAGCAGTTTCTCTCCTGGGCGTTTAAAATTAGATTAAGAAGAAATTAACAAAAAGCAACACATAAAGGAGCATTTAAAAATATTTATGGGCATACATGATATGGCAAAAGGTCAAGAAATATATCACAGTTAAACAAGAAACTACTTTTAAATAAAGAATAGGAAGTGGATATTTGGTTAATTCAACTTTACCGGAGGTAAAACATAACTCCTTTGCTCCCCAGCAGGCCACTGCGGTGGCATCTTAAAGAAAACAAAAATTATTCAAATATCCTCACACATTTTCAAAAAGATATGAGAAAGACAATGTTGAAGTATTTATCATGCTGGCTCCTTTGTTATTATAATAATAAAGAAGGAATGGAAGAAATAAATATTTTATGTTTCTAATACCTGAGAGATCCTTGTTAATACATCCATATATAAACCTCACCTTTTCCTCAATTTTCTGGAGTTAGCATTCAGGAAAACTAAAAGACAGTAGTTCTTTGACTTCATTATCACAGACATGGTTATAGGTCACAGACATATATCTATGAAAAGAAATTCTGAGAACTACTGTCTTGCAGTAGTCAGCTAAAATAAACACTATAAATAGAATTCTGTGCTCTAAGCATTGGATAAAATTTTATTTCAACCTATCCTCCTAAAAACCTTATAGAAGTCAGCCTACATGCTTCAGCTATTTGACAACAAAGATTTTTTAAAATGTTGAAATACAGAAGGGAATACCAAATCTTAGAAAATAGTTCTAGAGAAAAGTTCTTGCTGTGCACATTCCTGTCAAAATATTATTCCACTATTTCTAAATAATAAATAAGCCTTTAATTCTAAAACAATCCCAGCCTTTTTCTTAAATTTTGGGCACACTTCACTATTTTAAACGACAAACTTATTTGGGAAATTTACATAAATAAATTAAGGGCCTCAAAAATATTCTGAAGTAAATCATCTGTTCCCTCTTCAATTACCTGAAAATTATATACAGGCAACTGATATCCAGTGATGACCTGAACTGGTGAATTTGGGTAAGGAGGATATGTCTGAAAATAAAGTTTAAACAAAGAATGAATTAAGAAGGTAAAAATTTATAAAAGAGTATTATTACCAATATAACAAAAATATGAAACTTTTCGTTATTTTTCTATATACAATAATGCAGGATCCTAAATGAAAGACTGACTCTGTGAAGAAAAAAATATTCGGTCAAGTGTTAGTCTTTTTGGTGGGTAGAAGGAAGGGACAGGTGATAAAGGAAGTGACTGATTCTGTCAGCCTAAGTTGACCTTACCTCTACTGTTTTATACTTATCTGCACTCAGAAGTTCTTTCTTACACTAGTGATAAGGCTCTAGTAAGGCAGATTTTCAAGTAAATTAAATTAATATATGCACTATTAATATATCTTTGTAAAAATACTTTTAGATAGTATCCTGTTTCTTTGACAATATTATGGAGTAACATGAAGTCCTTTTTTTGGACTTTTCTGTATTTCATTTCTAAAAATTAAGGGCAACATACAATCTAAAACTAGAAAAGCTACCTCACTACTCTAATCAAAAAACGTCTTGTATGTTTCAGTATATACCTATTGGTTGAAAACATAAATGTAGCAACATACAGGACTACACTCAGATTAATAACGGCTCAAAGTAAATGTTAGAAACAAGCAGGGTGCTGGGCTCAGTGGCTCAGCCTGTAGTCCCGCGACTTTGGGAGGCTGAGGTGAGTGGATTGCCTGAGCCTGTGGGTTAGAGACCCACCTGGGCAACTTGGCGAGACCTCATCTCTACAATAAATCAAAAAATCAGCCGGACGTGGTAGCGCGTGCCTGTAATTCCGGCTACTTGGAAGGCTGAGGCAGAAGGATCGCCAGAGCCCAGCGGGTCGAGGCTGCGGTGACTGGGAGCGGCCACTACACTCCAGTCTGGGCGACAGAGTGAGACTCCAACTCAAAAAAAAAAAAAAAAAAAAAAAAAAAAGAAACAAGTAGGACTTTTTTTCTAGTCATGTATAGAGCAGGAAAAGTAAGATATATCCTACACATTTGGGGTAAATAAAAAATGTAAACAAATGAAAGACATTGCTGAACTATTTTACTATTGTTTTGTTTTTCTTTTCCAGCAAAGAAAATGTCTTTTACATGGAAGTAAAATGAACTAAGAAGAAAATGTTATTTATCATCGATAGGAGATAGCATGTCAAACCCCACTTTAAAGTAACCAGAACTGGATAAATTATATGCCAGGAACTCACAGAGTTTATAGACATAGTAAAATACATCAGAAATCTAGCAGAATATATCTATAAGTCAGCAATCTATATAGGCATACATGATATGTCTAAAGATTTTTAAAAAGTCAGTTATACTGTGATAAAGAACAGCTCAACCAATTGCAAACCAGAGAGAAGAATAAATTCAGAAGCAGATACATAAGGAAAGCTGCTTTCAAATATTTTAGGAGGTATCATATGGAGGAAAAAAGGAAGAGATTTGTTTTTTGTGGCTACAATGGTCATTTCAGAGATAAATCCTTACAAACCCTGTAGGAGATTTTTAGCTTGTATCAAAAAGAACACTTAAGAATGAGAGACTTCTAACAAAAGCAATCATATTCAAACAGGGACTACATTACCATTTATTATAGAAATCATGGATATAATTCTACAGAGGGTATGAGAGAACACCAATGTAGGTAATTCTTACCTGAACATACTGGGTTATAGGATTCATCATGGGTGGAGGTTGCATATAAGTTTCTGTGTTTGGATTACTCCAGACACTCGGAAACTGTGGTGGTGGTGGTGGTGGAGGATTAAAAACCAAAGGACGTGGCTGCACATGATAAGCACCTTTTAAAAAGTAAAAAGAAAACAAAGCCTGTTTGTTGTTCTTTAAAAAGCTTCATGTGTCAACAAGAACAACTTCTTTTTTTACTCACATAAATTTTGTTTCCTGATTGCAGGGCCCAGTTTCAGCTTTTTACCATGGAAATTTATCTGTGACTGAGAATAAAACAGTAACAAAACTAGATTAATTTTCAAGTCTTTACTACCAAGACTTGGGTAAATACCCCCAGTCCCCTAAAGTTCCTACTAACAGAGAAGATCAGTGGTAAGTACACACTAAAATCAAAACATGTGATCATAAAGCTACCTCACTACTCTAAGCAAAGTGTCAAAAGGTATCAAATGAAGCTGGATCAAAAAACCTTTCATCACCCTGTCTCCAACCCTTTCTGCATCTTGTTCACGAACCTATGTGCCCAGTCAAAAACAAACAAGATCTGGCAAGTTATGTAAGATTACTCTTAAGTTTGGGTCTTAAACAGAAAATGTAGCTTTCTCCAAATTTTACACCAGATTGAGTATGTCACTCAAGAATAAAAACTGCATCAATAAGAGATTTTTCCACAAGATTACTTACTTCTACTATCTTCTGCACATCCACGTCATTATAAAATGAAACAAATCCATAGCTAGAAAGGCAGACAATGAAGTATATAATCATCACCATACAGTACATGGTTCAGAACCTCTAGTATTCTATAAAATAATCTACAGAAGTGATGATAAAAGATAAATATACTACAATGAGTATCTGTAATACACACAGGATAGATCCTCTATAAATACTACTTCCTGCTTTTTGTTTTCTTAAACTTATCTGTGTCAAAATGTGCTAAGGCTAAGACAAGATAGTATGGAAACCTTATTAACAAAGAATTCATATTTGTGAACCTGAATTTAACTTATTACCTAAGGTGAGACACTTGAAATTTAAGATACTGTGAAATGTACAAAGAAAACAATTCTTTGATAAAACTGATTAATCCACTTGTGTGAAATAAAGATGAGAAATACTTAAAAACATCAGAAAAATGATTCAATAAGAGTTAATAACAAACTTGTCCTCTACATGAAAGAAATGAAAACAAGTTTCGTTTATACAAGTGTCAGAATATCAGTCTTGAAGACTTCTCCTTGATATTCTGTAGGCGCTAGAACTCAGATATTTTTTGACAATTTATAATAAACGTGCTTCACTCACCCTTTAGACACACCAGTTCGATCTGTGATTATCTTCACTTCTTTCACTGAACCATATCTAGCAAAAAAACTCCTAATTTCAGTTTCATCCATCTAAGAAAAATAATCAAAATTCAAGAGTAAAAACTCAGCATTCAAAATTTTCAACTCTACTATAAAAAAGGTTTGATGTCATGAAAGTTTCTCCTCCATGTATTCCCAAATGACCTGTAGCTCTGTCAAAGATATTTTTAATACCTATGGGTTAAGCATAAAGCCAATTCTGAAACTGGGTTAAGTACAAAAATAACAAGTTTGTATGATAACAGTGCCCAAATCCCATTATTCACAATGCATTTTAAGGTAAAAATGAGATATGAATTCAATACCCTAATATCAATTCCACCAACAAATATGCTGTTTGGCATGATTTTGCCTTCTGGTAAAACATAGCCTTGGCTGGTCGTAGCTGATGAGGACTGGGTGCTGGCCTCTCTGGAGATGGTTGAATTTGAAGTCTCAGAATTTGCAGCAGACTGTAATTCGAAAAGCAGACATCATAACTAGATATAAAGGCAAAAATCATACACAATGTGAAATACAATTTTACATTTTAAGTATAAAACATTTTATATAAATTATTTTCATTGTAAACTAGTCATCAGTACAGCATATTTCAGGTTTAGGATTTAAAGTAATCAAAATAGATCAGTTGAAATTTTAACGAAAGGATATTGTATTTTCTTTCTTTTTCTTTTTTTTTGAGTTGGAGTCTCACTCCGTCGCCCAGACTGGAGCGCAGTGGCCGCTCCCGGCCACCGCAGCCTCAACCTGCTGGGCTCAGGCGATCCTTCCGCCTCAGCCTTCCAAGTAGCCGGAACTACAGGCACGCGCTACCACGCCCGGCTGATTTTTTGATTTATTGTAGAGATGAGGTCTCACTGCCCAGGCGGGTCTCGAACCCACAGGTTCAGGCAATCCACTCACCTCAACCTCCCAAAGGCACGGGATTACAGGCTGAGCCACCGAGCCCGGCTATTGTATTTTCTTAAACTCAGTGTTACTCATCACCATCTCTTGTACAATGCTGTGGAAGAATACTGATTTAATATTTTGTGAAAATACCATGTGAACTGGTAAAAATAATTAATTCAGATTTGTAAAAACAAGTTATTAAAATCATTGTGTTCTATACGGGTACACAACTTTTCACTTTACTGAGTATATTAATAAAAAGCATGGTAAACCTCAAAAAATAAAGTTAACCAAAGAAAATGCATCAGAGAGAAAATAAGCCTCGTTTTAAACCAATTTGTCTTGCTTCGCCTTTCTACTCACCAAAATTAACATGAAGTTTACAATTTTAACACTCCTCGTGCTAGTATCCCTGGTTTTACTTTGGAAATAGCTCATAAAAACATTAGCTCACATATCAAAGCTCCTGCGAAAAAGGGGGTTATAGTCCTCTTCCCTAATGCTAGAATGTTCAGAGCATCTTTTGAAATAACATTTTTCCTCTTGACTAACACCAAATCAGTCCCACTGATGATTCTAATTTTCACACTGGGCTGATAGATATAAATGATACCATCTTAATTTTCAGATAAAGAAACTCACACATATAACTCATTATTTTTCTGGATTCTGATCAGCAGTCTGTCTTTATTCTTCCCACAGTAGACTCTAAGGTTAATGTAAAATTTTCTGAAGTAGAATTTACAGATAATACCTATGTTGAAGAGGCAGTATAGCATAGTGACAAAAACTGATTCAGTCATGAAATCTAGGTTCATGTCCCTTACTAGGTTATAAGCCACTTACTTTCCAGCTGTGTATCTCTGGGCAAACTGTTTTGAGGATGAAATAACATCTGTGAATTCATTTTGTAAAGTATGACATGGTATGTCAATGCAAGTTAGTGTCCTGTTACTTGATTCTATTTGCAGATTTTTTAAAAACTTTCTTTCCTGGTTTTAATATTTTAGTTGACTTATTTTGAAAAGACTTTATTAACACCTAATAATAATTAACAAAATGAGAATTTCAGGAAACTATTTTAATGCACATCACTCATTTAAAATCCACTAATGAAGTCCCAATTGACGGTAAGAGGTACATATGAAAGGTTGTAAGACAGAAAGCTATTATACATCTATCTGTTTATGAAATAAAATAAAGACAAAAGAAACCAACTGTATGTCTTTGTTAAAGGTAAACACAATAATTTTGTAGACAATAGGAAAGTAAGTAGAGTTCCTGGTTTATTAATCAGATGCCAAATGTTACTGATAAAATTAAGATTCTACAAACTGCTATGTTAGAGATGAAATCTAAATTGTCAAATCAACTGAAGTTGAGTTTTTTTGCTTTTCTCTCTTCATTTATGCTTATACTTGCTGTTTTGGATTTCTATTTAAATATACTTTGCTATTTTTTCCTTTAACTATGATATAGGGATATCAAGATTTTCTTTTTTTTTTTTTGATGCCTTATTAGATTTCCCCTCCCTAGAGACAGTTTACCAACCCCTTCTCAATTAGTTCATTCAGAAATCCAAAACAGAAAACCAAACAGCGGTCCTGAAATTATTGTACATTTCCTTTTCTTCTTTCTGATCCCCTCTTCATTTGTAGATGAACTCTGGCGATGTTTCTGTTTGATAAGCAAACAACAGTAGCCTGTCCATGCACCAGGTGTGGAAGTATTTTAACTTGTAAGTATATCCTCTGGCCAGAAAACTGTGCACTGATTCTCAACTGGAGAGGATTTCTGAGTCGCAGGGCGCACTTAGCAACAGCTGCCGGCATTTTTGGTTGTCACAACTGAGGTACATTCCTGGCCTCCGGCTGAAGAACAGGGACACGGCTGCACCCTGCGATGCAACGGGCAGCCTCTCACAACGATCTCCGGATGATCTGGCCCCAAATTTGAACAGGGCTGAGAAATCCTGTGACAGTGATGCCGACATCGATGAGAAAAACAAAAATCTGTTTGCGAAGAATCTCGTTTCCACTGCTAAGCAAAATGAATCTTTTCGGACCGCCATGTCCTGGCTCGGAAAGATCTGTGCTGTCTCCTCTCAGCCTCACACCCGACCCCCGCCAGCAAGACGGGCTCTTGGGGTCACAGCAAGTCGGCGAGGGGGCCAAGCGGCACGAGGCCCAGGCAGCGCGGCCCCGCCCCCGGCCGGCGGCCCCGCCCCCAGCGCGGGAGCGCGCCGCCCCGGACGGCC